GTGGAGGGCTTTGTAACAGGATATCAGAAGTATTTGACATGTGGAGGTTCCAATAGCGGCTGCAGTTCATTCTAGGACGGATGTTGGAGGGAGTTGGTAAGGGGTGTGTGGAATGGATCGTTGGATGAGGATTGCCGTTCCTCCTCCAGCGGATGAGGTTCGATCGGTTCTTGTGGTGTAGTTAGGGATGGAAAAGGATCTGTCGAGTGCCAGCCACGTCTCTTGTAAGAAAAGTATCCCGATGGAATAATCTTTAAGGAATTGAGTGAAGATTTTTTTAGCGCTTTGAGAATTTTGAGGAGATATTTTAGGTTCAGGATTATCTTTTTGACTGTGGAATTTTGGAGAAAGGAGAGGAGGTCTTTTATATCTTGGGTTATTGATTGGGTAGTTTGTTGTTAGGTTGTGGGTTGTTGGGTTTGACCTAGGGTGGCGGCAGAGGCGTAAGATTGGTTTTGGGATCATAGATGGGGAAATTTTCGGAGTGAGTTGGTTGGGAGTTGGTCATCTGTGCTTGTTGTTCTCTGGATTTTACTGTAAAGGGGCATTGTGGGTTGTAGGCTGGGTGGTTTAGGGAGCAGTTGATGCAATTTGGGGTGAGTTGTTTGTCTGATGTATGGGAGGGACAGTCTTCAGTTGGGTGGGAACTAGCGCAGAGGGCGCAAGTCGCTTGTCTCCTGTAATAGGCCTTCGTATGGTACAGTCTTTGGCAATTTCTGCTCTGGAGTATTCTGTCATCTTGTAGTCTTCAACGGTCACTCTAAAATGGTCAAAGTATCTTAGGATTTTCTTGATGTCTGTCATTTCTATTTTCTTTGTATCTACTGTGTACAGGCCTATTGATGTCAATGTCTCGTCGGCGTCTCGTCGTTGCATTTTTAAGGAATGTTGTGTGAAGTGATTTTAAGGGAGGGCGTCAAGTTGTCTTCGATGGCAGTCAAGTCGTATTTGACCGGGAGTCCTTTAATTACAAATTTGTCTCTTTGTTCGACAATGGCTCGGTGGAAATGGTAAGAAGTGATTCTGAGAAAAGTCAGTTTAGTCTGGGGTCTCTACAGATCTGGTCCAGGCAGTCCCTTATCTTTCCGTGGACAGTCATTGTCATTGTTTGAATTATCAATTCTTATGATATTCTTCTTTGAATTTAGCTGTCAGATGGTTATTACAGTTTGTCTTCAATTCCTTGATCAATTCTGTTGAGTCAAGGATTGTCGTCAAGTCGATTCTGAAAATTCCGATCCGTCCTTTGTTAATTGGTTTTGGGATCCTCGTTTGTTGGGAGGATGATTGGTCAGCAGAAGGTTCGTTGTTTGTTTCTAGGTCTTCAGGGATTCCAGAGTCTGATATCTGGGGGGTCCGGTTGGGAAAGAGGGTTGAAGGGATTATGGAATTCAACAGGTTTACTTTGGTGTGGAGGTTGGGGTTTGGCTCCTTTTGTTACCAACCGGAAGCCGTCATCCAACAGGAAAATTTTGGTTGGGCGAAAATTTTAGTCAAGAGAGCGTCGAAGGTTGTGGTGCGCGTCTGCTCTTGGTTGGGATACGTCTTCGGTGGCGTTGGAGATTCCCGCTGGTGATGCATCAGCTATCTCGTCGACCGACATCTACGAATCCGAGGGCGGCAGCGTCTGTAGCCGCGCCTCCTTCAGGAGTAGTTGGTTCTGCTCCCGGAAGCGGCTGTTACTGTCCACAAGGATTCTTCGGAATAATCTCCTCGGGGTGTTCGCAAGTGAGAGGCGCCCCCCCGATAGTTTAGGCTGTTTCAGGTAACTGTAACGTTATCTAAACTGAATAAATTCTAAGACAGGTTATGCTTACTCAGTACGCATGGCAATGACGAGATCGTGGTCTTCCCTCAGCAAAACAGTTACGGTCATCTATACAGTACATTAAGCACTATCCCTTCCAGAAGTTTAAAGACACAAGTGGTGCTGCAGAATGGCACAGACATTCCCGGTTTAGTTTCCTATATTCTTTGGACTCGCCTAGCTATTTCAATATGCCACATGCTCTTGCCTGCTGCAATCACCGCCCAATGTACATTTTTTAAATCTTAAGTTTTCGTTTCGTAATAGTAGAAAAGAAATATAATTACAAGAATATTAAAGAACAGTAAAACCTCGTTCTGAATGACATTTTTCTTTGAAAAAGGAGCGGTTTTTACGAAAAAGGCGCCTATGCGCTACATTCGACATTTCAATAACTGTTTCACAGTAAATTTTAAATTTTTCGAAAAACTTAATTTGAAGTCATTAGAAACAATTTAATTGACAAATATAATAGTGCTTATAATTTGCTGCAAATGTGCATATTATCGGTATTAGAGATGTTTTTAGAAAAACATTTGCATTATTTTTGAAAAAAGAAAAACTACCGCTAAATGATCTTTACCTCAGATTAAAGAGTGCAATTAGCACTACCCTTTCGAAAAGTCTGAAGAAAATTTGGAGCAATTTAAAAAATGGCAAGGGTATTGCTAAATGTGCTATGAGAATACAAATGCAATTTTGCTCCTTTCTTACGTTTTCAAAATTTTTCCAAATTTTTACTTTCCCGTATACATACGTATATACGGAGTATATACGTATATACGTAGTGTATGTAAAGTTATGTAATACGATATAATATCGATTTCGAGATTCAAACGGAAATTCACGTTTTGGGGATCCGTGATACCGAAAAAGTGTTGTTTTTTTTTAAGGTCTGTCTGTCCACTAGACTGTCCGTCCGGTGGTTCTGGTAAATGTGAATAACAATAGCGCCTATACCATGCGTTAAAATTGTTTTCCAAATCGAAAAACCCGTGTCCGTTTGACGTAAGTCAAATCTCTGCGATTTTGAAAATCATTCATTAATTCGTTTCTTAAACGAATCCATCTTCCTCCTATCTTTCTCACGTGACGAATGTGTGCAATGCGTGTTCTTCATTGTTGCAGTTGAGTCATTTGGGGCTACTTATTTTTTTGGTTTTTGTGGAGGTATTTTCTAAAGCATCCTTGGCCGCTAAGGAGCTGAGTAAGGTGGTAGTTGACCTCGACATGCTTTTGACCCATGAGTCCAGGCGAGGGATCAACCTCTCGGTTCATTTTCCGTAATTGGATTCTTCCCATCTTCGTTGCCATTAAAGAAATGCCATAGCGGTAGGCGTGCTGCCTTCTTTGCTTCGGCTCTGCCTTTGTCTTTTTGGTTGCGCCAGATGTCTTGAGCGAGAAGATCAATTTGGAGTGCTCGCAATCACTGGGACCACTGCTTCGGACACTGTGCGGTATGTGCACGAGACCCTCAGTGCAGACCATCGTTGCACAACTGCCATTCATTTGAGATACTTCCATTTTTCAAGAGCCTTCGCCCATATTTCCACTCCATAGAGTAGAATTGACTCTGCAATAGACACAAGGAGGCGCTGCTTACTAGATTTCGGACCGTTGGTGTTTACCATCAAGCGGCTTAGTGCTGTTGTAGCATCAACAGCCTTACCTGCTGACCGCTATATATGAGGCCAGAAACTGTTTCGTGTCAAGCGTGAGTCCTTTTTACTTTGCACTTGATGTTGTTTCGATGTTCGTGTCTCCGACCTTAAGTGTGACCCGCGTCGACATGTGAAAACAACAATTTGGGTCTTTGTTTCTGCAAGAGAAAGGTAGTGCTCGTTCGTCCATCGTTTTATGCGTCGCATTGGTTCGTTTAGGTGATATGCTTCCTCAATGTATGTGCTGTGATTAGCGCGGGGCACATAACACCAGAAAATGTCGTCCTTCTGATGCTGCGCAACGCCTAAATTTGGAACGCAGTGACAGCATTAGCGGAGTGCGTTCTTAGACGCAAAAAATGACGGTGATGACATAATAAATGTTAGATGTTATGAACTCAAGAGAAACTGGAGAACCCCGATGGGCTACCTAGAATCGACACTGCCCTGAAGTAATGCTAACGCGGTTCCGGAGCAGTACCACGACAATCGGGAAAAGTTTGTGAGTTTAGTGAGTAGAAATCTCACACTACTTCGGAAGAGCTGTGCCTCCCGAGTGTCCGTGATGGATTCTCACAGTTCCCCTCAGAAAACTGCTACTGCTACAGCTACTAATACTACTACTACCACCACTACTCTGCCCTTTTTATTGGACTGTTTATATTGTTGCAAAAATGTGGGAAATCTACATACATATACAGGTGAAACACCTGAGAATGACAGAAAAATGTTTAGCTATTTAGTCTTTTGAACTGCGAATTTTGAAGGAGGTGTTGCCAGTGGCGTAGGCTCAACGGATGCAAATGATGTGTCACATCCCCAAATTTTTATCTCTTTTAAAACTATTGTTAAAATATTTTGCTATTCCTTAATCTCTCTAAGTATCTCATGTTCCATGAGTACCTTCCGTTTTTCATGCGCTCTCTGGCGAGCGTCTGTCACTTTCATGGATGGGGCAGGCCGCAAAACATCCCTTCGGCGGATTCGATTCGTTAATTGGTTATTGAAATTTCACCATGTGCTGTGTGCAAGATCGGCCGATGACGACACGACGCTGACCAGACGCTGACTGTTGAATGCCGGACTTTTCATTGGCGCTTCTGTATCCCCTCTCCTAAACCTCCGCCATCATTTTCTTTGAGCACCTCCTCTGCTTTCAGTAGGGCTGGGAATCCTAGTAGTCACGTGCTAACGACTGGGGACTCCCAAGGCGGATTGAGAAGGGGGCGTCTTGACCACACTATACTGCGATTTATGCAACTGTGCCCCTGGCAGGTATTTGACAGTTGACGATTTCAACCAATCGGGAGCTGGAACGTCACCATAGCTATATATATACCTTGGGTGTAAGATATGATTCAGTTTCCACCGTCCGAACTAACGCAGAATTATTCGCTCAGAAGCTTTAGCATGCGCAGTATAAACGCACGTTTATGTAGCCAGTCTTGACCGCACATATATATTTTTACAACCATTGTAGATAGTAGCACATTAGCATCTGCCACTTCTCACCATAGAGGAGAGATACAACAATACAAGTACATATACAAATACAAGTATATCTGTACTCTATGCTTCTCACCCATAGACAAACCATGAGGATGCCTTGCGTGTTGTGTTCCACCAAGGACGTTATAATATATTATAACCTCATTGATTCCCATTCGACGGTGCTGCTTAAAAGTCACGTTTTCTGGACATCTATCACCATGTAAAGAATATTCCTGGTATATTCATTCACTGTATGGGTATATGGTGTAAGGAATATTCTCATTGATTCTCATACATCATACAACGGGTGTAGGATATATAGGGATAGGGCTCAGTGTTTTTCTCGTGTAAATGTTTTTTGCCGTATGTATGTGAGCGACTGTATGTTCTCCATATATTCTTGATCTCACATAACTCGTCCTATACATATTTTAATACATACTCCGTGATTCTATGCTACAGCTTCTGTAATGAAGCACGTGACAAATAGTGACAGATGCTAGGAGGATTATCTGTGCTGAGAGTAAACTAGAAAATAGGGCTTTTTGCAGTGTTTATTTCGTATTAATTTAATATGAATAATTAACTTTCAATTTTGTCAGTCTGAGCTAGTTTTGAAGCAAAATATATACTACCTATTCTTCAGATAAACTGTCACATAAGTTATGAGTAACTATCTAACCTTGTGGGACCGCGATTTAATAATTTCTTACTTTCATGTGATATTGTGATTGAATTTATCCAATGTCGGAAAATGAAACCATCGAAACCCTCAAATATGGTGTATGATTCGTGTTTGAATCGTGTGCATTGAAACTGCCACGTCTGTAAGCGAAGTGCTATTGGTACAAGTTAGAAGAGGCGATGTAAATTGAAGGAATTACTCGTTCGTGTGTGCCTACAAAATATTTTGTTGAAACTTTATTGCTTTTTATATTGTTCCATTTTAATATTTCAAAATGATTCACAGTCTTTTCATCATTAATTCGTCAGGGTAAGAATAAATTAAAATTGTTCTGCTTGTCACAATTTCAGTTGTCAATGATCTATGTAAAAGAATATTTTAAATTCAAGTCTTCACATTTCTCTTTAGGGATGTTTTTATGGAGAAGCATTGGAAAAGTGTTGTTTCCAGATCTGTATGTGATTATTTTTTTGATCAGCAACGTAAAGTTGGGAGTCCAGAGGATATCCCTCCTGTCATTTCTACTCCACACCATTATCTCATTAGCATTAGTAGATGCTCCATGTTTTTTGTTGCTGTTTGTATGACTGAAGGTACTGTTTTCTTCATCATTTTTAATGTTTTTGAGTCATTTTTTGTATTACATTCCCATATGTATTGTAAGTTTTTTTAAGGGGCCTTGCCAATTTTTTAGTGGTTCAAAACCTTCTGTAGCTTGTTCAGTTTAATTCAGTAGCTCTAGTTTCTAAAATGCAGAGAATCTGTAACTTTATCAAGTGATAATTTCCATTGAAATTTTAATTTAGTGTAATATATTTGAATATTTTAATTTCCTTTATCTCCGCTTCCTCCTCTTTCTTTTTCATATAAAAAAAATTACTTCTAGGTCTCTTGTCGTTCCAGAGTCAATTTTAGTTTTATGTTACAGTCCCTCCATTATTTGTTATTGAATTCCTGCATCGTGTGGTGGATACATTTGAAGATTATTTTAGTGAATGCACAGAATCAATTATTAAGGAACATTATGTAGTGGTGTATGAAGTAAGTAAAACAGTTTTGAATGGTTTTTAATTTATCGTTATGTGTATTTTAATCACGCTACTCAAACACCTTTAATAGTTGTATGTGTGAAAGGTGTGTGTTCATGAGCTTTTTTTGTTTTGTTTTGTTTTTTGTAGCTTCTGGATGAAATGCTGGATAATGGATTTCCTTTGGCTACTGAATCCAATATACTAAAGGAGCTAATCAAACCACCCAATATTTTACGAACAATAGCAAATACAGTTACCGGGAAATCAAAGTAAGTTTGTTTTAATTTACAAAGGCATCTAATCTGTTAATTTTTGAATTCCAAGAAATTACTACAGCAGAATGTTTTACAATTATATTTAATTACATTAAATACATTACCTTACAAAACTACATAATATTAAAATAAATAAATATATATATTTTTAAAGAAAAGCGTTTTGTGATTTTCTTTACTTTCAGTGTCAGTGCAACCTTGCCTAGTGGACAGCTATCAAATGTGCCATGGCGTCGAACAGGTGTCAAATATACAAATAATGAAGCTTATTTTGATGTGGTTGAAGAAGTGGATGCCATCATTGATAAAGCTGGGTCTACAGTTTTTGCAGAAATTCAGGGTTATGTAAGAAAATTTAGTATTATAATGAATGATATTAACAAGTAAAGTAGATACTAATAGCTACGCCTACTGTGTTGGACATATGTTAGGTACAGGGTTAATCCTTGATGCGTTAGGCAAAATTAATGTGTTATATCTGTAAATTATAAGTAATGTTATTTCTATAAACTGCAATGGTATGCTACTTCTATAAACTCTAATCAAAGTTTTAACAAGGTCAAGTACAGTCATGTAATTAATTAAAAACTGTTTTGGGAACTTCAATATTTTTGTCTTGTCGTTTTACATTGATCCCTACAATAAGTAAAAATATTTTCATATTATGTAAAAACATTTCATTTTCAGATTTTTATATTCCAGATTATCTTTGATTTCAGATTGACTGCTGTATTAAGTTGAGTGGAATGCCTGATTTAACTTTGTCTTTTATGAATCCCAGACTTTTTGATGATGTAAGTTTTCATCCTTGTGTTCGTTTCAAGAGATGGGAGGTAAGTTGCATTATTATTCCTATTGAGCCTAATTATGAAAAGTCTTTAAGTAACTACACAATAGTATCAATACAGACAGCTAGATAAATAAGTGCTTTGCAACCCAATCTAATTAGGAGCCTCCAAAATTATGAATATATGATATCATTAAAGGCATAATAACTACAATTAAAATAAAATAATGTGAATTGGGAAAAAATATTCAGTTTTTTAAATTTTATTTATAAGTTGGTATTAATTTGCTACAAATTCCAAACACAGCATTAACTTGCCTGAATTTGCCTGGTTGCAACATTTTTTTATTACAAATGTCAGTAATATTTGATTACGTTTGTTCATTGTAATTGATATTTGCCTCAACTAGATGCGTATTTTTCATATCATGTAGCACAATAAATTATTTATATTATACAACATTTAAGAGGTCTTATTACTAAGGATTAGAAATCAGTGTTCATGGAGCAATTTGAGTTTCTTATTTTAAGATACAATTTTTTTAAATTGGTAAACTAAATTGATTAGAGTGCTCTTGCATCCTTTACAGTAGTGAAAATGTTCTTTGCAATATAAGCAGTTGGCATCATCGTGTAATTTTGTAAATGGTTTACTTGTTTTTGTACTGAACAAGTAAGTGACTTGAAATTAAAGAAAAGAGATAATGAAAAAGAGAGCAAAGTTGATGTTCTCAGATTTTAAATTTATTTGTTTGTTTGTTCTTTCAGAGACACTTAATTGCAATAAATTATACTGAAATATAGTATAACGTAAAAGATACTAGCAATAACAGGAGCAAGTTTTCTTATTTACCACGAGTGCAATTATTCCTTTATCCACATGTTACGTTCAATATTTTTTGTTTCCATATAAAAATAATTTCAATTTTGAGAATTTCACACACATCTTTAACATTCATGCCATACGTTTAATGATGCTTCTGAAAAAGACACATGTTAATGGGCCTTGCGTTGTGTATTTATGTACTTATGATCACTATACTGACATAGAGACCAGATGTCCCAAGCAAAGTTAAGACAGGTATAAAAGAGAATACAGCATGTGTAAATATTGAAAAGTTAAAAAAAAAGTCACTTATGACTGTTTTGCTTGACATATAGATTTGCAATGTTTTAGAACAGGTACACACAAATGACGTTTGTATTTTATTTGGTAGAATGCCAAATGTTTTACATGTAAAACATTTAATTTATTCATGTTAAATTTGTTAATGTTGTTCAATTAGGCAGCTAGTGTCAAACCAACATTTACTGAACCAATTTTATTTTATTAATTCATTGTTTATATGTAGTTGATATAGGTACATACTCCGTAAGGTACATTTTTGTTTATGTTTCATGACTCCATTTGTGTTATAGCATTTTAAACAAATTTGATCCTTTTTCAGAATTCTGTTTGTAGTTTTAATTGCACAAATGCAATTAACATAGTGATAATTAAAACGATTTGTCATTGAATTAATGAGCATGTTTAGGTTACTAAATGAAAAAGTTAACAATTAAATGAAACATTTAGCATAAATACATAATTTATAATAGCTTGTACTGAACTGAAATTTATGTCTTAAAAAAATTTTTAAAATTTGAAATGTTTTTCTTTCTGAAAAAACATTTACACGTATTTGTCCTGCCAGTTTTGTTGTATTTTTTAACTACCTAATTAGCTACCTAGTTAACTACCTCTGTTAATTGTAGTGTTGTTGATTGTAAGGAATAAAGTTATTTAATGAAAATATTGTAATTTTGTTGTTTTTTCTTTTCAGTCTGAAAGAATACTTTCCTTCATTCCACCAGATGGGAACTTTAGGCTCATGTCATATCACATTGGTTCACAAAACATTGTTGCAATTCCTATTTATGTACGACATAATATTTCTTTCAAAGATGTTGCTGGTGGCAGATTGGATATAACTGTTGGACCAAAACAAACCATTGGGAGAACTGTATGTAGAATTGTTATAATTAATAATCCTATTATTGTTGATTTTTTTAATTAATTTAATTTAATTTTGTAGCTCAAAAACTTTAAAAATTATGATGGCAACATATGAGAGTTGACATATTGGAGAAGTGGTCTTTAAAAATTGTTGTTTTAATTGATATCAAAGTAATGATTTGTTGAACTAAATTAATTATAATACATTCAGTTACATTTTAACTAAATACATAATATTTATATAAAATTGAAGTACTAAATGAGTTTTTGCAGATTAGATTTCAACACGTGTGAGTGTGTAATATAATCTGTGGTGACGATTGTGAATGTGTGGAATTATTATCTTCAGTTTTAAAGTAATTATTGGTTGAACTATATTTAATTATTGATACATAAGTTTCTTTTTATTTAAAAGCATAGAAATTGTTAAAAAAATTGAATGGATAACTGAGTTTTTGTAAAGTTAACCTCAACACATTATTGCATGGAATCACTCAGTTGGGATAGAAAGAAAGTTAAAATTGGTTTTATTTAAATACACTGTGTGCTGATATCTTGGTGATCCAGTTGTTGTGTCCTCTTGTCTGGGAGATTGAGTAGCTGGGCTTATCTTCTTGTGGTCGGACATATTGAGATTATCAAAATGTCTCCGAGACATGAGATTTACTCTCAGTCTGAGTGTAATGTTTGCTAAACTGCATTAGATATAAATTCAATAAACTTGCAATTTGTGATAGTTGTGATTGCAAAGTGCACTACCATATCCCCAAGAGATCAGTGTGTTCCATGTTCTGTTGTATAATTTCATGTTTCATGTTAATATTATTAATTTCAATATTTCTTACTATGTTAATTTCTGTATATATGTCAATTATGAGTAATATATAATTTCATTTAGGCAAATAAGCCTGTTGTGTAAGTAAGTAAATAAATAAACTTGAAATAAATTGGTTGCAGGTTGAATCTGTGCTGATTGAAATTCCAATGCCAAAGTCTGTTTTAAATTGTAGTTTAACACCAAATCAAGGAAAATATTCATTTGATCCTGTTAGTAAGGTGTTGCTCTGGGATGTAGGTCGAATAGACACATCTAAACTCCCGAATTTAAGAGGAACAGTAAGTCAGTGATTATTTCCAAAAATTCATAATAAAATATCACTTTTTTCTTTCTGAGAGTTTCTTCAAATTAATGAAACAACATTTAACTATAAGCAAAATATAATCCTGATTACAAAGAATGAAATGCATAATTGACTTAGTTGTTAAGTGTTAAAAATGTAATGTTCACCGGTACATAGCTTCCATCAAAGTTCAATGAAACTTGTCTTGCTGTTTGCGTGTGTTAGTATATTATTACATTTTTCTTCAAAATGCATATTTAGTTTAAAAGTTTTCTAACCATACAATTCTTTTAAAAGCTTCTATTCAGTATATCTGTAAAATGTAATATAACTGCTTTGTAACTACAATTAGTGTTCTTATTGTGAAAAAACTTGTACTTATTTTGCTGTATTTCTTACAGATAAATTTGCAGAGTGGTGCTCCTGCAGTGGAATCAAATCCTGCTATCAATGTAAGTAAAAAAAATGTTAACTTGGCTGTAGACAAGCAAATCATGATTTTGCCTTTTAAATATTTTTTCTGTTTAGAATTTCTTTTGAAGGTTCTTGATTTTATAATGAGAATCTTGATAACAATTATTAGAGGAAAAGATGAGTTAAAATATAAAATACTGTAGTCTAAAATATGAAAAAAGTTGACAAGATAAATAATTACTTTTAAGGTGTGTAATTCAGTGCTATATTTGATTTTCTTTTTTGTTTTAGGTACAATTTATGATTAGCCAATTAGCTGTATCTGGATTGAAAGTAAATCGTCTCGATATGTATGGAGAGAAATATAAACCATTTAAAGGGGTGAAATACATTACAAAGGCTGGAAGATTTCAAATAAGAATGTAATACATGAGATATGTGGTCCCAATAAATTTTGTTATTTCTTCTTACATGCATTATTATACATTTATTAATATTGTTTTTAACCAAGGTTGTGGTGTCATGACCAGTTTCCACACATTTTTAGGTATTAATTTACTTAAGGTTACCTGCTCTCTTTGCTTCCTAGGGTAAGTCCCTGGGTAATATCCATCCCTGAGATCTACCTGAATTTCATTTAACATTTTCAGATATAGGAATTTTTTGAGTTGTAGAATTACAGTGTGACAATGGATTTTGCCGCAGAACAAAAATATGTTATTGTTATATAGCTCAATGCCCTGATGACAATAGTGAAAATCATTTTTCGCTATCACCTAAACTTTCTTCT